AAAAGCAGTGAGATTACACAGTATGCAAAGGGGATAGTAACAATATCAAGGAAGCCAGGAAAACTGGAGTTCCCCTTTAAGTACACTGCCTTCTAATGAGAGTTCAACTTCCCCCCCCAAAACAGGTTTCAATGGCTTTTTTAATAGCTTTATTATTTAAACACTTCTAGGGCTTTAACATTAGTCTGTTCTGGAACAGGTGAAAGCTAATGCAATTTCCTAAAAGTGTTTTAATTGGGGATTGCACTGAACAAGAAAACTCTACCATGCCAGGCCTGGAAATGAACCCACAAAGAAAAAAAAGCTGCTTTAAAATATTTTGGTAGTGCAGGACATTTACAAAGAACCTGCTGAATTTCAGACTAGTAAGCTCTAGAGTCATTAGGAGCTTAAACACTGACAAGCTGAGTTTCACTCAAATATCAAGCAGCAATTTTTAACAGCACTGCAGAAGAACAAAATTTACACAAGTGCATCTGCTGCTGTAGGGATCTAAAAGCGAAGAGCAAATGCTGTTGGCCAAAAAGATTATTTTTTCTTCCTGCCAGTTTACCTGTTCCTTTGTTCTACAGTGAAGTCATGATGCTAAATTTGCAACTTTATATTAATTTCCGTGGCAACAGACCACACTACCATGAATCCAGGACTACTGCGACTTTACGGTGGACTCCAGTAACAGGAGAAGCTGGAAGGGAGAAAGCATTCACTCAAGCAGGTTTTTCCAGTTGCCTCAAAGACACAATAATGTATTGGGGACAGTGTTGCAGAAGGCAAATGCCTGTGTCCTTTACAGTCACTATGAGGCAAAGGTTCAGTTTAAAAAAAAAAACCACTCATTTTAAAGTGTAGCTTAAATTTATGCTATGACAAGTAAGGCTAAGAAAAACACTTGGAATTACCTTCCTAACACTAAAACCCAGGCTACCAAGCAGTGAGAAAGCATCATCTGAAGCTACATATTAAATGGTTGAATTCTGGATGGGTTTTTAAATAAAAAGGGCTAATAGGCACCTAGCTAAACCAGCAATGAAAATGGTTGTTTCTTTTGCTTTCAGTAACAGGAAGGAGCTTGAGAAACCTGTGACTCGGGCATAGCATAGGCAAGGACAGAGCCAGCCTCACTACCCAGATGAGGTGACAAACTCTGAGCTGTTCCATGGACATGTGTGTCACTAAATCCAACAGAGTCCCAGAAGAACCAGAGCTGCTACAGGTGAAAGAAGAGCTGCTCTTACCTGACATCCTTCCCCACGGTCATGGCTGCAATAACCTTCTTTACAGCTTCTTTCCTCTTCTCTTTCTTTTCATTATTGAGTTCAGCCTTCAGTTCAAAAATCTCTCCTGGCAGAAGACAAAACAGATTGAGCCTCTTGGGAGAAGAAAAGGGTCCTGCTTTAGGGATAGTTTAAAAGTGACTTTTTACTTTCCCGGCCTGTTGTTCCCATAAAATTGGTACAGCAACATGTGGAAGCTGTCAGACCTTATGGAGAACACAGTTCAATGAGAAGCAAAGCTGTGACACTCAGAGAATGATATGGGCTACAACTTGCTAACAAAAAAGCAGTTAACAAGAACCACGCTGCATGTTGCAGCTCTCCCACTTCCAGAACATTAAACCACATCACTCTAGCGTCTGTTTCTCAGAGGCAACTATTATATAACCAGGATGAAAAGATATTTGGAGACGCCAGATTAGTGACTGCAAGAAAAAAAACTAACTTAGCTAGGAATTTTGCCCAGACTTTTTAACTTTTGCTCATCATCATCTGCTTCCTGCAAATGCAATGAGAAAACAGCAGACTGCAGTGTAGCCAAAATGCCGTGATACAGAGTGGCAGAAAAGGGAAAGCACAAATTTAGTCCAGTGGAATAAATTCCTTCCAAGCTAGAAAGACAGAGCTACTACTAACAAAAGCAGCAAGTAACACAGCTTGCCTGGATTCTGAGGTTGCCGAAGCGCCCTTTCCATGACACTAATTCTTCCAGATTTTACTGTGTGGAAAGTCAGTTCAGGCTGGATCACAAAAGTGGCAAAGCAAGTTTGCAAAATAAAGCAACACGTGCAAAAGAGAGCTTATCAGGCCAGGTCCAGACACAGCAAGCAGCGTGAGAAGGATAACGCTTCTGACTGACAGCCAGCCTCCCCAGGAAGGACAGCGAGCAATATTCCCACTGGAAGCCACAGGCTGAGGACATTACGAATATGAATATCTCTGACAAGATACATTCTAGCCCCTAACCTTCAATTCCTATGCACCAATGCCACTTTGTCAGATCAGCAGCACTAATTACTGAAGAGCCTGGCACAAAAAGACTAACAGGTACTTCAAAAAAGACGAGAGGTTACTGTTCTGAAGAATGCAATGCAGTGACCACTTGTAATACCTTCTGCCTGAGAAAGAGATGCTCACATTACTCACACTGAGATGGTGCCCCGGAGCAGAGCTGAGCCAGCAGCATCAGTGGCGTGCTCACTAGAGCTCAGAAAACGCAGGCTGGCCTCTTGCAGCCACCCCAGAAAAATATGCCTGCTACATTAGGACTGAACTTACGAGATAAGAGTTGTTCGTTAGAAAGATGTGCACTACATTTGCTTAATTTAAGAGCTCATTCTGAAGCTTAATGAAACATAAATAGATCAACACTGTAGTTTTTCACTGGTAGGCATTCATCAGAAACATTCAGGCATTCTGAAAAGGAGAGGTTAATGCAAACCATTTTGCACATCTACTGGAGAAAGATGAGCAACATCAGGCTTAAATTGCAGCTAGCAAGAGTTGGGATAAACATTGTTTTGTTTATAAACAGGTTAGGAAAAAAAAAATCTGCCTGGGACAGTTTCAGCAGAACAAGTCCTCTGCTGAAACAGGTGAATGGGTAAAACATCCCAAAAGATCCTTTCCCATCTTTCCATTTTTAACAGCAGCAGTTTGCCCTGAGGTGAGGTGACCACCACATGTACAGTAAGCCAAGGGGAAGTCAAACAGCACACTGCAACTTTGAAGGAAGCGGCAACAGGAAATCCCATTATCTTTGCAATAGCTTGATATAGATATATACACTCATACCTTAAATATTAAATGTCTCTCGATCAACTTAATCCCATGATGCACAACAGAACAACCATCCTCAGCCTTGGACTTGTTAGTCCATAACTAAAACTTTGTCTCTGCCCAGGTCTGCACTCAAATCCCAATGTTTTGTTCTCTGGTCCTTGTAAAAGCAGCCATTTGGGTCATTTTGTGCATCACAAAACCATGTAATACATCAGTTTTGTCTTTTGTCACCATGTGACCCACTTTAGAAGTTTCTCCCTGGATGATTAAGACAAGAAACAGGGACAGATCTAACAGAAAAGCGCAAGTTCTTCTGCAGGCAGTTAAAAAAGCTGTGTAAAAATAGACACCCACCACCTCCAATCCACCACACCAGCTTAACACTAACCTTTTTTATTGGTCGTGAAGTATTTGGAGTCCGTCATGGTTCCAGTTCCTTAAAACACCTGAGAATAATAATAAAAAAAGAACAAGCAGTCAAACAGTGTTCGGAGCTGACAACACCGTTTGCAAGGCAGGAACTCAAGAGAAAGGATGGCTGGTGAGCGCATAACATAAGGGAAGAAGCACATGCTTCACATCCACAGGCACAAGTTTCACAATCTTCATTTTGCACCTGCTGCTGCTATTACTTGGCAAACCCAGGGATTTAAAGGGCTCAGGTGAACAATGTTAGTGCAAACACAACAGCCTGAGGCAGACAGGCTAGGAAAGCAGTGGTGCTGAGCCCAGCTTTTTAAACTCTCAATCTGGGAAGGCAGTTTTAAACTCCTTATAATCAGCAGATCTTGACACGTTCTGCAGCTGTCTTTCCCCTGGGTACACAATTTTGGGTTGTTTTTAAAAAAAAAAAGAAAAAGAAAAGAAAAAAAAAGCACTGCACATTTAATATCTCGACTGGAAGCGAGAAGTCCATGTTTCAGACAAAGGAAACTGTCAACTCCCCCTAACGATACTTTCCTGTGTTGCATCTTGATGGAAGGAGCAATTAACCCTACTTGCAATACCCACCCCGAGGCCCGTTCCTTTCTTTCCCTTCTTTTGTTCTTGAGAGATGCAAAGCAGTTTTTTGAAAAGAAGAGCCATTACTTTTCAGTTCTCCCAAGCTGGATATTGAAATCTTTCTCTGCCAAGATCTGGCATCCCACTTCTGACACACACAAGCTTAATATTTCAGTGCTACACTGCATTTTTGTGGACAGGACCGAAAAAACACTGCTGGGCCAGCAAGTGCTTAGCAAAGCCAGGAGAATGGTCTCACCAGCATTCTTCTTGCTTCGTGGACCCCAATTATTAATACCTTAGAACACAGGGATTGCCCAAACATATGTGGATATCCATCATTTTATTCTTACAATTGCCAGCTCTGTGACAAACATGACTCAAACAGTTTTCAAGTACTGGCTGAAAAACAAGCATGAGAGTGGGAAGTTTTACTGGTTTTGATTAAACTGTCTGCATCAGTGCTAAGAACCTATGACCCTAAAACCATTCCAAAAAGGATTTTCCTACCTCTTTCCTCCTTTTTCTATTTTTTGCCCAATTCCCCTTCTCTTGCACATAATCCCATGATCTTAAATGCTACCAGCAAAGCACCAAGTCATCTGTTCCCTAAACACTGCCTGTCTTGCAGACCTCGAAGGTCTTGCTGGCTCAGCAACAAAAGGACAAGCTTAGCTTTGCACTCCAAGGCAGTGCCCAGCAGTGCAACCAGCTTGCTGTTTCTTAACACTTTCCTTCCTCATTCCTTAACTGACCCCAACACCATTATCACTCTTTTTTCCGCCTATCCACCTTGATCAATTTAATACCTCAGCAGTTAAATTCCCAGCAGCAGCAGCCGAGAGGTGACACCACAATTTCTACCACCTTCAACGTGCTCTACAGCCTGGCAAAGCAGAGCAGTTGTAATCTTGTCCAACTGCCAAGCAACCAGATGAGAAGCAACCTGTTGCTTAGCCCAGTTCCCCAGAGCTCTTGCCTGCCCTGTGCCTGTGTGGTTACCACCTCATCCCAATTAGGCGGGGTTATGGGGTTTGGTTTGATTTCTCTCCCTTTCTGCTCCTGCCAAGCTGGAGAGCAAACTACGCCTGGGGACAGCCCTGCAAGTGCATTTCTCCTGCAGGAGAGGTTTGTCCTCCTTCCAAAACAGAGGCTGGGTTGGAAAAGCCACATGAGCCACAGCATTGCAATATTTCCAGCAAAAAAATCGCAGCACCACAAAAGAAGAAGCTGTTTTGGGTCTTGTTTTACAATTAAAAACATAGCCCATGTTCAGCTGCAATGTTATGGCTGACACAGTCCTTCAGATTTGAGCCCAGCTTAAAAGATGACTTAAATGTTTTCCTCTATGAGAGCATTTGGCATGGTGCGACACAAAAGGCATCGAACGTAACCTTGCTGTTCTTTGTTTGCATTATATGTGGATTTGCCAACCTGGGTCACACCTCCCAGTTGAGCTAGTCTGATATTGTTTTAACAGTGGCCAGAGCAGCAGATTATCAAGAAAATCCAGGAGAGAAAAAAAAACAACAAAACAAAACACAACACACACACACACACCCCGCAAACAACCCACCATACAGATCATCCCAGTGTAGCATAAAGCTACACAGTGGATGACCTCTGGCTGAATTTCAGAGATGATCTTCACACCCAAAAGCAGGGCATTTCCCTGTTTTTCTAACTTCAGATCACATACTTGGAAACACTAAGAATCCGAGAAACGGTCAAACTCAGATAAGGCTAAGCACAGCACACGTATTTACAACCTGTTTCAATAGATGTAAATAAAATCCGACTTAGGTCAAAAAGCAAACTACCATATTCCAAGCACAACACATGAGAAAGCTCTTTTGCTCATGAACACACAGATTTTTGCTTCACGTATGTCAGAGCTTGCTTTGCACGTTGTTCAGAGACAGCTTGCTAGCAGTACTGAGTATTATCTCATCCACTAAGCAAACTCAGCATGGTTTACAGCAAGTCCCAGATGAAGGCCAAAAACAAAATAGCCCAGATATACAAATAGCAATGTTTTAAATAACTCAAGAAAATGCCACCTTCTTGTACACAAAACTAAACCGAAGAGAGACAAGATAAATTATGACAACATCATGAACATCCGTTTATTTTTAGGAGAAAATCTACATCAGATTGCCCTCTCCTTAAGATCATTCTGCGTCCAGCACTTGCTAAGGTGGAAACAGGTAAGAGGTGTTCAAGCTGACAGCAAAAGGCTCCTGTTCCAACCCCAGCAAACAAGAAGAGACAAACCAGAGGAATTTCTCCAGAAGCCCTGGCAATGCTTAATGCTGTAAGCATTGGCTTGACATTTAAATGTAGACTGAACCAAAAAGATGATTAAATGAAAAGACTAAGGAACCATCATAACCAGCCTCCTCAGCCCAAAGCCACACAGAAAACTGGATCCTGTGTCTGACCAACACCCTCTTTGCCCCACGCATGACTCCAAGGACAACCTGACCAGCTCCCCACCACTGATTTCACATCACTGTGAACAGGAGGGTGGCAGGTTTAAGGCCTCAGTATTGATCCAAGCTCCCTAGCATTGACACAATCCAGTATTGCACCCCTAAATCTCCATAGCGGTCCCAGGTTTAGGCTGGCTTACACTCCAGCTGGTGCCACCACCTCTTATCTGCACCCATTTCACCTGCAAAGCCTCTTGAGTAGCCACACGACAGCCCAAGTGTGGCTTGGGGCTGCTGGAGCATCAGGGACCTGAACAGAGCAGCCAAACACGGATGGCAAAGGGAAAGCAGCCCCTGTGGTGCTCCCCACCCCATTCTCAAGCGCCCAGTGCTTCCCATCGCATCCTCAGCCCCTCAGCAGCATCTCCCAGACCTCTCCCACTAACCCCCAGTTGCAGGGGCATCCCCCACCAGCCCCAGCTCCCCTCCCCAATGTTCCCAATTCCAGCAGATCCCTCCCAGTGCCTGCCCAGTCCCCCCCAGCACCCCAGCCCTCGTCCCTGCCCAGTCCCACCAGCATCCCAGTAGCTTTCTCTGCTCACTCCCATCCCACTAAGCCCCACCTCAGCCCTCTCACCACACCCTGACCAGTGCCTCCTCAGAGGGGACCAGCATCCACCCCTCGCCCCTCCCAGTACCCCTGCACCCACCTGCCCAGTACTCCCAGAGACTCCCCATCCCCTCCCAGTGACCCTCTCCACCCTATCCCAGTACCCCACCAGTGACTCTTCACTGCCTCCCAGTATCCCACCAGTCACCCTCCCCACCCTATCCCAGTCCCCCTTTCCAATGCCCCTCTCCTCTTCCTCCTCGTGTCCCCTCCCAGTTCCCCACAGCGACCCTCCCCACCCTATCCCAGTCCCCCCTTCCCAGCACCTCCCCAGAGCCCCTCACCTCCTCCCAGTGTCCCCTCCCAGTTCCCCACCAGCGCCCCTCCCCACTCCATC